CTGTAAGCGGCCATCCACCCAAAATAATTGCCTACCCTTGGGCTAGGAGGAGTAGGCCTACTCTTACCCTCTGTCCTCCTACTGCTGTGGGTCTGACTGGTCACAACCTAGGCTCAGGGCCAGAGTCAGAGCTGCAGCAGCTACCTGCCCTTCCCTTCTGCTTTCTATGCAAAACTAAAAAGACAAGATTTCCTCCATGCTGATTGAGAGGGGAAAAAAACCTCATGTTGTAGTCAAGTAAACGGAGTCCTTATCCAGGGATGGACAGGTCAGTTCTGCTCTTTAAAGCCTCACAGAAGAGTTGCTTAGGATGAGTAAGCTTAGATAAGAAGCAAATCTGCCATCTGGTTCAGAACTCTTGAAACTGCATAAACAACTATCTATCCCAAGGGTTCCCAAAGTGTTTATGCTGCAGCCCAGCAAACCACAGCCCTGACTTCCAGCCAGAACACACAGGATACCCCCACCCCCTGGGCCCGGGGGGCAGGTGAGCCAAACCCTGCGCTGCCATGGGCCTTGCAAAACGAGCTGCGGCCTCTACGCCCAGCTCTGGGGGGCCATGGTTTGCCAGTCCACAGCCATTTCTAGTCCAGCAGCCAACCCGCTGCAGCCCAGGGATTGAGAACCCTGATCTAACCCATTGCAGCATAATATGCATTCAAATAACTACTGAGGAAAGAAAATTAGAGAGATTCATATTGTGAGTAGTAATGTTCAGTATGTAATGACAAGTTATTTGGCAGTTCATGAAACAAAACAGCCTAGTGCTGAGAGCAGGTGATTTATACGAACAGTTGATTGGGTATAGGGATTCTATTATCTATAGGGAAGAAATTTTCTCTCATCTCCATGTTTCCCCTTCCCCCATCTATCTACAAATCAAAATATTCTTGCCTACCTTTCAGTGTTATGCACTATAATTAACTAATATTTGCTTTGAGAGCTTGAGAGGAATTGATGTGCTCATCCTGAGCAGGAAACAAGGGATTTTTTTGTTAATTACGCCAATAAATTGTTGGACGTGGAGAGGTTTGGAGCCATTCACTTAATAAACATACACCCTAATTGATAAATCTGACCAGCTACTTAACTTCTCATGCGGGGAAGAACTATCAAGGCAAGATTTCATATTACCTATACTTTGGATTTATTTATACATAGGGCAATAGTTCTGGGTAGTAGTTAGAGCTTTAAATATAAAGAAGATATTTTAGGAGCTCATGCCCAAATCACCTAGTTCAATAACAAGCAAGTTAAAACAGCAAAAGGTGCTCTTGCCCACTTGCACTCTTCTTTCTTTGCATCACCAACTAAAACCAAACACTGTTGCTTGGGCCATTGAAAACTACTTCTAAGCAGAGGGCACAAACTCTCATACAGGCTAGTCCCTTCTCTCTCTCTGAGGAAGGAAGCAAGTGAAACAAGGAGGAATGTGGGGGAGGCAGATATACAACTATGTTGACAAGTGCTCATTTGAAAGTTGGGTTTAATTAAAACGGTGGGTTGGAAATTCAAAAGAGAAAAGGCCCACTGCCCCATGAAATAAGATTTATACTGACAGAATGTAAAACACCAAGTCAGGCTAAATCTTTAGCAGACTGAACCACCTCACCTCATTTGAAACGTATAAATATTTTTATTTTTTGTATATCATATTGCGCGCGCACACACACGCACACAATGACAATGAAAATCCCAAACAATCTGTTAAAAACATACAGGATCAGATTCAATCAATCCAAAGTTAAGAAGTGCCCAAATCTATATTGCTTGTGCAATGTTGATTTCACTCCCCTGTATGTTCTGACATAGTCTTTAATGACAGAATCATGTTCTGCCTCTTCCACCAGAGCCCTGCTTCATAGTTTCATAGTTTCTAGGGTCGGAAGGGAC